TAAATGGAAAAGCGTACTTGTTACAAACTAACACCCTCCCCCATGGACATGGAGGTTGACGGTACTGAAGCAAAGGGTTATGTTTAATTTCTTTATATTTGCAACGATGATGATTTCCTTTAGTGACACATATCACCTTCATAATGCTTCAGTATGCCTCAAACGATTAATTCTTGGTTGTTGATAGAACTTCCTTGATGAAATCGGCTGCTTCATGCAGACTGAGCAATTCTGATTATAGTATCAGATTTGTTCTGTATACAGAGGAACTGGGAGGGCTTATTAGAAACTTCTCACCAATAAAGTAATGATCTTCTAGTAAATTTTGCATATAATTTTATTAATATTTTATTTTATTTAAGCATATAATTTTTGTTACAGTCAATTAGCATAAGCATGCGATACCTGAGATTTAATATTACTTGCTCTTTGACTATATGTTTTTAGTATTACTTCTACGTGAAGTCAACGATTTACATAGTTGAAGATGCTAATTTCAAATAACAGACTGTAGTGGTAATTTTTATACGATAGATGGAGTAGATGAAAGCATAGAGTTGATAGTTCCGTTAGAGCACAGAGAACAGACGTTGAAGCTCGGTCAGAAACTTGTGTAAAATAAGTGGGAACGTCGCCGTTACGTGGTGTTAGCATCTCCTGATTTTCTCTCTAAATTTTCCACTTTCGACCAATTTGGCGCTAGTATCGATACATTTTCTGTTGAAAATTGCCACTTGGCGCTACTAGCACTTAGTGTCTAGTATAATTTGTGCAACGCCAGCGCCATCATGTTGTCAAAGAGGATTTTTAAGTGGGGAAGTGCAGAAGTCAAATAGGAATCCTTACACAAGTTTTTAGAGAAATTTTGTTCCAGCCTCCATGTCTGTTCTCTGTGGTTAGAGTACGGCAGTGTGAAGATTGCATATAGATATTAGGATAGCGAGCTAGAACAACTTTTAAGGAAGGTACAAATCGGTTTTTTCATCTCTCTTTACCAAACTCCCCCTTTGGAGAGGGATGGTGAGGGGTGTCCCCCCCCCCCCGCCACCACTGGCAAAAAGAGATGAAAACCGACCCGCTCAAGTACCAACTGTGTGTTTGAAACAGTTCTACCGATTTTTTACCGCACCGCACGGTAGAACTGTTTCAAACACACAGTTGGTACATGAGCGGGTCGGTTTTCATCTCTTTTTGCCAGTGGTGGCGGGGGGGGGGACACCCCTCACCATCCCTCTCCAAAGGGGGAGTTTGGTAAAGAGAGATGAAAAAACCGATTTGTACCTTCCTTAAAAGTTGTCCTAGCTCGCTTGTCTAATATCTATATACAATCTTCACACTGCCGTACTCTAACGGAACTATCAACTCTATGCTTTCATCTACTCCATCTATCGTATAAAAATTACCACTACAGTCTGTTATTTGAAATTAGCATCTTCAACTAAATTACTTGCTCGTTTTTGCGTAAAATAATCAATATTTATTTTACTTGTAATTACCTTTGAAAGTTTTTTTCATGTTTTTTTTTGTGATCTGAAAATTTTCCTAGTTTGGTTAGAAGTTTCGTAGCTAACGCATGTCCACAGGCCTAATACAAAGATAGGCAGAAAAAGTATATAATGATGAATGGTTGCATGCAGGGTTGCTTCCACTCACTTGCTATAGATGAGTGATTTTCGGAGTTTTGAATTTGTTAGATTTTGTAATGGAGATTTGTGTTGATGGATGGATGCGGGAGGAGATTGGAGGGCGGGTGTTTGACGCATAGAGCCTGTCAATTTCGCTTTCAGAGTGTCGCAGTCAGCGGTTTTATGATTTGTGAGCGCTCGCGATTGGTAGAATCGTGGACAATAATGCAAGTGGATCTGGCGGGTTTTGTGTGTCGGACGCTTGGTTTTTGGCATCTTCTTGTGTCTAACATGTGCAGAGTATCATTATAGCATCTAATGGTTTTGAGATTCCTGGTTGCGTGAAATATATTTGTGAGAATATCTTTTTGAGATTTTAGTAGTCACGTTTTGCTTGTAGTTTATATTTTATTTCTTTCATGTAATCATCGTAAATAATAGTTATTCAATAATAGATAGTTCATCCATATATTCGTACTTTGACGCGAAGCGCTGTGGATTATGAGATGCTCGATGACCCTGGAGAGATCGATTTTGCTTACTGAGCAGAAAATCATGGATTTAACCCCAAGCTCTTCCACAGCACAATAAATCGCCACCATCATTTGTATATTCGATATTGAACATTAACCTCGGAAACTATTTGCATATCAAGCGAAAACGTAGTCCTGTATTGTCACGAAGCGTTATGGTTCTGAGATGCTCGATGACCCTGGAGGGATCGTTTTTGCTTACTGAGCAGAAAATCATGGGTTTAATCCCAAGCTCTCCGTCATGACTCTTAAAATTCATGATCACTAAACAAAATGAATATGTTCTTTCGATAGCCGGCTATCGAGAGATTAAATAAACAATAAATAAACAATACATACTTTTGGTTGCATCGCCAACTTGAATCCTAACCGAATACCCTTCCCAACCCTCCAACTCCGTAGCACTTATGAGGGTGTCGCTAAGTCGGTGGCCTCTCGTTTAGTAAGTACTGCACACTTAGAAATTATCGCCGACTTCGGTGATTTTTACCGAAATCTGAACAGCTGAACTTTTCGGTGAAATTTATGCAATTAAATTCAATTGCTTTTCAGCTACTTTGAAACTAAATCTCCACTAAAATGACAAGATTTGATCATTTAAAAAAGGTTGAACATGTTTTGATATTATTTTCAAATTCAATAGCCTTTAAAATGAAGGTCAAAGTTTTACCGAACGTTCAGCTGTTCTGATTTCGGTAAAAATTAACCGAACACGGGAACAAAATCTTAGTGTGTACATCAATATTTCGTTCCCTATCCCTAGTTATGGTAAAAATGGGCGTGGCCGGGAATAGCGACAGTCATGCTTCTGTTACTGCTTAATACCCCGTTCACATTACAGCGTATATCACGTGATATACGCTGTCTTGCAATGAACACTCATACATCTTGTTTTCATTGGAAATCCTATGTATGAGTGCTCATTGCAAGACAGCCTATATTACGTGATATAGGCTGTAATGTGAACGGGGCATAACCAGCGAATTTCGACTGTGTTTAGTCAACCCCCTGCAATGCGATCCAGTTTTTGAAACTGCCGAAACCATCAGCAGCGCTGGTGATCCATAACATATTTAAGCTCCAACCATGTAACATTAAATGCGATAAGGTGGCAGCAAATGTAATGCATTTAAAACCATTCTTACTTTCCCGCAATGGACAATTAAAAAATGATTTAGTTGTTTTCGAATTGACGAGCACAATTTGCGTGAATCATGCTTTCCTATAACGTTATCTAGAAAACTCCACAACGCGGCGCGGCATGTACCAAGCTTAATCATAGAGGAATAGGAGGAGCTGTCAAATTAGCACCAGAGCGGAACTTGGCTTCACTCGAGTTGTTCGCAGATGACAGGCGTTGCAGTCCTGCGTGTTTAGTATGTCCATGTACTTGGTCACGTGACTTCTTTATTACTGCTTGTAATTATTGGAAATGATTGATTTTCTCTCTTCTCCCATACTGAATTTCAACGTTGCCTACACACTTATAGCGAATTCGTTTATTATCGAAACCGAACTTTTTGTCAGTGCGAACCTCAACCTGAGCTAGGTTTTAAAAACAAACGAACAAACTGACGTTTGTCAGAAAACAAGCAGACCCAATCTTGATACCCGATCCAGGTTGGAACTGAATAATAAACGAATTCGCTATTAGAAATACCTACCCTAATAAAAAATTACCATAAACGAACGATAACCCAAATGATTGAACTATTCCACAAATGGTTTGGATGATACCCAGAACACGTCGTTAAGCAAATTAACCATAACATTTTTATTAGGGTAATCTTACACGTGACGGAATCCATCTTTGACATAAAGGATGAGACGTAAACAAACATGTCATGTAAAATTAAGTGCTGCGAGACTGAAAAGTTCGAAAGTACGTCTATTATGACTCAATTTTATGTCAAAATTGACGCTCGTATATGTCAGTCTCAGAGCACCTAAACAGCGCCATCTCTGAGAACCACTTAATTGATGTGTCACTGGAAACAAAATTAGGGCATTTTATTTTAAATGCACACGGCGAATGAGAACGACTCAAATTTGAGTTTAGTTCACTCATAATCGCCAAAAGTGCAGGAACGCAGCGATGAGTTAAATTTGTCTCATGGTTTCCTGTGGAAAACCTAAAAAATCTGCCGGAAAATGAGGAAATTGACGAAAATTTTATTAAGTCTCGGAGTAGTACCAATAGACTGAGTGAATCCAATCTTTACTTTTCTCAAATTCGGGAATTTTTCCCTGGAAAATCCTGGAAAAACCTGGGAAAACATGAGGCAAATTAACTCATCGCTGAGTTCCTGCACTTTTGGCGATTATGAGTGAACTAAACTCAAATTTGAGTCGTTCTCATTCGCCGTGCAGAAACCGGAGGAAAAACCTCTTCCTCAGAAATAAAATAAGTTTTCAGAATTTTGAATATTTATTGGGTTTCAAGATCGCAACCAATTGTCAAATTATGTTTCATAATTTAGCCTAAGAGAATTTAGCTAATGATTTGAAGTTTAAAGCCGACCGTCTGGGACTTCTAGAACAAAACATGTCAAGGCGGCTTGTGATCAGACTTGGTGAGTTCGTTCAAACAAAGCTATATTAATATTTTTAGATATCAAGTAGAGGTAAAATTTACCGTTATTGTCGTGCAATACACTTTTTCACGGCATTATGCCATACGAGGTACGCCCCCACTAACAGCACAAATATTACGCACAATGCGCAGCACAATTTTATAATATTATTGTTTGAAAAACTCAAATTATAAATCAACGCCAAAATAACAGTGCAATTAGTCGTGATTCCATCAATCCTAATAACCATAACCGAAAACCCAACTTACCGGCGTATCCGGACACTTTCTCCCGGCCTTCTTGAGCACCTCGGGACTGGCCATCACGGCGTACACGAGCGGTGGCATACGGGGACTGCCAGGTGGAATCTGAAAGTAATCAACGTAGAAAGATTAGACATGAAATAATACAAACATGATATCTAATACTGGCTTCGGTGACGAATATTAGTTAAAAAGTCGTGCGGCGCGGCGAAACAGGTTCAAGGGAACTCGGGGACACTCGCGTGCGTACATGTGCTGCCCATGCATGCGGGAGAAGCGCAGCAATAGCAACGTAATTATGTGATATTAAATTGAATTTCACTTTTTATGAGCACATGTGCGAACTAGTTTTCAGTTCCATCTACATTTGCTGCTGCTGCGGAGGAGCATGTGCGCGCGTAACTTTACGGTGGACAAAGGTCGTATTCACTAACGTAAAGCCCCAGCGGAAAAGGTGTACAATTAATGCGCAACGTGCTGCCACTTTTATGGCATATTTCTACTTTTTAAGTTTACTGCCTTTTCTTCGGCTGACTGATGCAGCGTCGTTTCGCGTGAAACTTATCTTGTGGGCATGCACCGCTTCCTCCTTTTGACGTAGAGATTTGAAATCTTAAGTTTTTCGTTATCTACCCGAATTGCATAATCGGCTCACTTGGATAATCAATCTACTAGCGCAGATATTAGCAAATTAGTAAATCGAGTGGCAAGAGATATGATGGTTAAGGAAGTGTTTCGTAAAACTGTAACCGCAAAGCAGCACTGTGTGTGACACTTGAGAGGGGTACACCGGATTTGTCAACAGCCTCCGCGTAATTGGGGGTCATGCAATAATTACGTAACCACTTTTTCAAACCCCTCCCCATTTCGAATATTTGAATGGTGTGTATATGGCTTCTTCATGCTTACGTAAGATAGTTCTGCTCCCCCCCCCCCCCCCTAAGTGCTTACATAGTTATTGAATGACCCCTTGGTAGCGTCGAGCGAAAAGTTGCAAAAATTTGCACGCACTGAAGCGAGTAAACCTTGGCACATGGCACCGCTAGAGCAAAGCTTGAAACGTTTTCGTTTGCAGGATGGTTTTGGGTTTACCGCATTGGCTGAAGGTCATCTGAAAATGTTTACAGGAAATATGGCTAATGACCTGTCAAAAAGATGTTAAATTAAAAGCTAAAGTTAGCCAATCGGGTGTGTTTAAGGTTATATCCACCATCAGTAAAACATTTATGCTTATTTTAATATTCATCATTCATTACTGTCAATCCAGTCTCGCGAAAACTTCAAACATGTATTTTGCAAACGTAACTCAAATATTTTCTCTGCATCATATGTTCACAGTTTTGCGATAGAGGTAACTCTAAGACCAGAAGGTCCCGAAGAAACGTGTTCAACTTTTTGGTTCAGCTCTGGTACTCTCTTCGGTCCCAAGCTAATGGATGCACCCCTCGAAACATAGGAAAATCCACGAACCCGTCATTTTATCTGTCAAGCGCATCAAAACAAACATAGTGTAGTACTAGAATTTCGACTAGAATGGGGTACGCTAATCGATTTGCTTGGGACCAATAGGCTAGTCAAGTAGTGAGCCAATTTAAAATCGTTAGTTTCCACCGGCTGGTTTTGCCATGTGTATTTCGAAAAAAATCTCCAATCTTGGACGAAGTGTCTTCACCGCTACTTTACAAATTTGCGACCGTTCACCAACCGTGGATGTTCAATATTTCAGATATCTGTGAAACTTAGTCTTTACCTAGGGCTTTACAGAAGCTCAGGGACGTTAAAGGTTAAACGCAATGTGTGCGGGAACGAAACGGCGAGGCATGGATTGACGGTTGTCACAAATGATGCCAACATATCTAACCGAAGTCAATTCGATATTAACTAGTTCTGCTTTCGATGCCATTCTCCTTCCGCTATCATTGCGTTCGAGCATTAATGTGAAAGTGACCTAGTGAGTAAATACAAATTTCAAGAATGTCCTGCTGGATTCCAGTCCAGTGCTTGCTTGCAGATTTCGTTTCCGCTCCGTCGTAGTGTGTGGCCGACCCACCTCCACTTCCGTTCACGAATTTCTGTCTCTATCGGTTTCTGATGGCACAAACGATGAAGCTCGGAATTTGAGATCCAATTGTGGGGCCACCAGGCACGAATTATGTACCGCAGGTATCGGTTGATAAACACCTGCAGCTTCTGAGTGTTCTCCGCTGATACACACCATGTTTCACTGGCGTATAACAGCACAGACTTCACGTTCGAGTTAAAAATTCGGATTTTGGTGCGTCGACTAATCTGATTCGCTCTCCATACTTTTCGCAAACTGGCAAAAGCAGCACTCGCCTTCTTAATCCGTGCACCTATGTCGCTTTTGGTGCCGCCGTCCGACGCTATCTGGCTGCCAAGATATTGGAAGCTTTCGACTTTCTCCACTGCCTGCCCAGCTACCGTGAAATTGGAACGGTTTTCCTTGTTGACATCCAACGATTTGGTCTTGTTGACGTTGATGGTTAGACCTGCTTCAGAGGAGCGTTCCACAAGGTCGTCGAGCTTAATCTGCATGTCAGAGCGCCGTTGTGCTAATAACGCAACATCATCAGCCAAATCGAGTCGTTGAGATGCTCCATAGTAATAGGCTGTAATAGGCTGCCACAGCAACCCACAGTTCAGTACACGGTCAACGGTTCCAACCATGATCTCGTCGATTACGATGAGGAACAGTAGCGGTGATAATATACATCCTTGCCTCACACCCGCGATTGCCCGAATCGGGTCAGACAAAGCTCCGTTGTGCAACGCTCTGCTTGAGAAAGCCTCGTACTGCGCTTCGATGAGGTTGACGATCTTATCAGGGACTCCATTGCGTCTCAGAGCGCCTCACAAGTTTTCTAGGTTTAGTCGGCCGAAAACTTTTCCGCAGTCAATGAATACTAAGTACACGAGCTCTCGGAACTCATTGACCTGCTCCAAGATGATGCGGAGCGTGACAACATGGTCCACACAGGATCTTCCAGCACGGAATCCTGCCTGTCGATCTTCTCCTGTATCCGATTGAGGATAACTTTACACAGAACTGAGAACAATACACAGTAACATGATGCCTCGCCAGTTGTCGCATACAGTTGGATCCCCCTTCTCTTGGGGACTTTTACCAAGACGCCCTGCATCCAGTGGGCCGGAAAAGCTTTGAGCATCTCTGCTGATATGCGATCGACCCCCGGGGCTTTGTTGGACTTCATACTTCGGATGACTGCTACTATCTCCTGCAATGCGTCTGTGTTGACGCGAGTAACGCGCCTCACCCTTGGCGGATCATGCCGAGATGTTGATGGTTGGTTGACCGTTGAAACTTCGAGAAGTTGTTCAAAGTGCTCAAACTAACGTTTCAACTGATCAGTGGGGTCGGTGAGCAACTGTCCTGTCGCGTCTTTCATAGGCATCCTTGGGTTCATCCTTGCCCCATTCAGGCGTCGTGAAACATCATAGAGGAGGCGGATATCGCCAGTTGCTGCGGCTTTCTCCCCTTCATCAGCCAGGGAGTCCACCCACGCTCGCTTGTCTCGTATACAGGAGCGTTTAACTTCCCTCTCTAGAGCCGAATACCGCTGACGGGTCTCGTTCTTGGCTCCTTGGGTCCTTGCTCGTTCTATGACGGCTTTTGCTTCTCTCCGCTCCTCGATCTTCCTTCGGTGATCCACTCTTTCCTCTGAGTGCGCATCTTACCCAGGTTGTTCCGCTTGTTTCAATAAAGGCATGCTCGATGCTCGTCCACTGTTCTTCTACGCTGCCACCTTCCGGAATATTAGCTGCGCGAGCCTCGAGTTCATCGACGAATGATCTCTTCACTGCTGGGTCTTCCAGTCGGCGTGTGTTGAATCGCTGCTCGAGTCTCTCCTCCCGCCGTTGAAGCCGCGCAATGCGAAGGCGAATCTCACCGACCAGGAGACGATGGTCAGACGCGATGTCAGCGCTGCGTTTATTCCAAACATCAAGAAGGCTCCGTCTCCATTTTCGGCTGATGCAGATGTGGTCGATTTGGTTCTCTTTATATCCATAACGGGAGACCCATGTGACGATATGCACTGGGTGATGGGGGAAGAGCGCACCCCCGATCACCATGTCGTTGTTGCCACAAAACTCTGCAAGCAGCTCGCCGTTCTCGCTCATATCTCCGAGGCCATGGCGTCCCATAATGCGCTCATAGTCCGAGTTGTCGGAGCCGATCTTCGCATTGAAGTCGCCTGTGTAGATCTGATATCACCTCTTGGAGTCTTATCCACGACAGCATTCAGTTGACTGTAAAAGTTCTCTTTGTCCTGCAATTCGGCAGCATCGGTTGGCGCATAACAATTCTGAATCTGGCAACGATTATTCTCTCATTGATAGGTTCCCACTTGATGAGCGCAGCCAGTTTCGGGCGCTAAGCAGAAAGCCAACTCCACGATGTCGCGGAGCCTTTTCACCTCGCATACCAGAATATAAAAGTACCTGTCTCGAAGGCAGCTTGTGTTCTCCATGTTCGGCCAGCGGACTTCACTAAGTCCCACCCCTGTTGGGCTAGAGTCAGTACATTCCATGTTCCAATTCTTGTCCGTTGTTTAGCGCTAAAAGTCGTTGCCATAAAATCAGCTCGTAATCTTTCACTATAGGTTTCTGTAACAATCTGAAAGTTTCGGAGACAGTAGGTGGTTGGCCTAAGGTCTCCTATCCGCCGTGCTGGAACTGCCATCTTGGGTATAGCTTTCGGTGAGAAGCATTTCGTATTCAGCCGCGATTCAGCGACGATTTTAATCACTGTCCCAAAAAATGATTGTTTTACTTACAAGATAAGTGCACTTATTAATTTATATTGAACTGCACTGATGTTAAATTAACTCAAATAAAATTGCAAAAAATAACTATGTTCTTTACTACACTTCGATATCTCCGTTATTGTTTTTGTTTACCTTATCCATGTACCTATTCCCAAGCTCACACACACTCTCAGCCGATTCCTTTTCGCACGGTCCTTCACTGACGTTTAGGATCAACGTCTCTGGCGCTTCGCAGGTAGGGTATGGCGCAAGGTGTATTGATAGTGCTCGGCGGTGCGCACACCTAGCCATTTGCCAGCCACACCGAAAGCACTGCAGCTGCTAATGATGAGCGACCACACACCACCATACACGGTGATTGAATAAGCACCGTTCGGCGAGACTGGATGAAATACAATTTTGAAATCTGTGTTAGGGAAAGCGTTTTTTGTAGGCAATCGGTGATAATCTTGATCACAATTGCAAAAGTTGGACATTTGTGTTATTTTCAATAGTGACCTATTGAAAATAGGGAGCTGCACCGTCGGGGTAACCTAACTTTTTTGACATCTGGCAGTGGTTTGTTTACATGGACTTAGAAAAAAAAGTTTAAAAAATCTATTAATTTTTTTTTTAGATTCATTGTAGAGGAATATTTTTCAAATGAACATAGTCGGATATCATATCTTTTAATTCTTTTTATTTAAAACCTCAAATTCACTTGAATTGACTAACAAGCAAAGGTAAACAAACCACCACTGGATGTCAAACTGATGAATTCGGGTTCATCGCGTTCATTCGTGACGTCAGCGTGCAGCATCCTATTGATGAAGGCTCGCGCAACACGAGAAAAGGGCCTACCATTGTTGATCGATTCTCTTCATGGATTTTCTCAAGGTTGTCAAAATTTAACTTCTTGTCTGTCAGAAGTAACCACGCTCGGATAGCAGAGTTAATGGATAACTTTCCATCTGTCAATGGTTCAGAGCCTTAATAAGCATTTTCTTCTTGACGCAGAAATCTTCCATACAACACAAGGCGGTGATTGGCAGTCAAGAAGCTGAAAGGGTTTTACACTTCTTTGTCGTGGTATTTACCAGCCAACAACAATTGCACCTTGGAGCTGCACCGACCGAACTGGGAGGAAGTTCGACCAGTTGGACTGAAATGACAGAGTTTGTGATACTAGCTGAGAATAGGGGGTACTTAATATGAAAACGCTAGACAGGATGTTGACAGATTTTAAAGAGGATGTTTCAAATGCAATATGCTTGTGACCGTCGTCTCTAATCATTATTGAAACCATTCAAAATTTGCTCATAACTGACATTTCTATTGCTATGAAAATCCCGAAAAACCTCCTTACTTTACCATCTGATTCTAATCTCCGACAGTCATACTCGTTTTGAGTTACTGACTGGGGCAATCATAATGGCCATGGATTGTTGTTGTTGTTGATTTACTACTAAAACCACAAACCGAGAAACGATCGACGAGTGTGTGTGCCGTACACAGTTTTAAGTATCGCGTTTCATTGTTTTCCAGCACGTTAAACACGACGAACGATGATGAATATGGAGTGCAGCAGAATTAACCAAATCAAAAAGAAAACCGAACGCGAGGCAAAACCTTTTTATGTAAGTTAACCGACCAACAACAAGATAACAAACCACCCCGCATCGGCGAACGATGGGGCAGTCGAATAATTTGTGTATCTACAACGAACAATGTTTACCCAACGCCAGCAGAGCCGTTCGTTTTGCTCATGTTTGCAACAGTTGACGTTCATGGGAGTCTCCCAAGCTAGACAACAAAAGAATGCGCTTAGAAGGTCTTTGTATCTCGAGATGACTTACCTTGCCGACTTTCATCCCACCGTACAGCGGAATCGGTGCGTCCGGGTTGTCCGGATTGGCAATTCGGGTCCAGCTGAGCACGTTGATGAACACCTCCTTGCCGTCGATGGTTTTCTCCTTGATGCACATGTGCGGTTGGGGAGGATTCTTGAAGGTTCTGGACGCTCGGGACCTTCGGTGTGGAAAGTTGTTCTGGATTCCATCGATGGTTAGATCCTGCTGCTGGGCTGATCCTGGTGGAGGTGGCGGTGGTCCTCCTCCTCCTGGGAGATGACCGCCAGGACTACCCGGGCTGGGATAGTGGTTGAAATCGACACTGCCGTTGCTGTTGCTGCTGGTGTAATTGTTGTGCAAGGGGAAATCATGTTTAGGCGAGTTTCGACTGATGGAAGTCGGAAATTCGGATGTATTCATAGCTAGCGCGGGACCGGCCGTTGTTGCTTCCTGAGATCGTATCGGATGAAATTGCGTTTTGAGGAAAAAACTTTCACAACTCGTAGAATTATTCCTAAGTACAATCAATCTTCTTCAGCTTTCATGCGCGCCTCCGGGAGTATAACAATGGGGAGGGAGGGGGCGTAACACTGTTACGACGTATCTTTTTCTCACACTCCACCCAGGAATGTTCCACACCTTTTATCACAACAACACTCTAGTTTCGTCATCAGTTTGCGGAAAAGGCTGCACCACTGGCACTGACGGCACACCAAGGAAAGAATTTGACACACAAAAACTGGATTCGGTCGGCGGCGCGTCTCGTCCAGCCCTGCACTGCTGCGAACCCTTTGTCCAAGATGATTTTTTTTCGCTCGTTTGCTTCCTTCCCCACACAGATTTCAACTAATATGCTCGCAAAAGACGATCTCTTTCTCCTTTCTTCTTTCGAACTCCTCTGTGTGTCTCTGTGTCTGGTAGTGAATGGAGAAAACTCCCAAGCACATCAATTTTCCTCCAGCTCCTTTTCCCTCCCCCGGGGGCACCAAGCTTTGCCGTCGATAAAAGGAATCCGTCTCCGTCTCAAACTATTCACCTTCTTCTTCTTTTGCTGCGTCTTCTTTCGCTGGAAAACACATGCATCACAGAGAGGACGGAAAGTGCATCCGATGTACAACCGTCCCCAAAACCCGAACCGAAAAGATCACACAGAAAAAAATCCACCACGGAATCTATTTTGGTGCCATTGTTTATCCTACTCTTGCACTCTTGAGGACGGGATTGTGGACTGGGGGAGGGGAGCTCCGATTAGGTATTTCGAAACAATTTTTTTTCCCGATTTTCTTGCCTTTCCCGAAGCGGAGCGGCGCAAAACAAACACACACCCGCTCAGCCCGCAGCAGCGACGATGACGACGACACACGGGGAACGATTAGCGATCGGGGAAAACTTGCTAGATGTCGCAAAATCCGTCAATATTTTCTTCCTCGATTTATAACTCTCGCACTGCACGCACAAAACACTGCTCTGCTGGCTGCAAATAGATCTACTGACCGCCGTCGTCGCCTCGAAGGAGCCACGAAATAATGATAAATGGAATGAAAAAACTTCACTTTTTTTTTGCTGCTGCTGCACTAGCAAAGTGCTCGCGCGATGATGGCTGGTGAAAATTTATGTTGGTGTGTTGTCAAATCAAAAAGGCCAGCAGCAGAAGCAGCAGCCAAAGCAGCGATGGTGAAAACAAAATACACACCAATACCAAGCAGGCCGGAGGATGTACCGACACGGGGAAAACTTGCACACCATCGTGGAAGTTGCGTATGTGTGGGTGTGCGACGGAAGACAACATAAACCGGTGGGCTGTCCCTCGGTGTTTATGCGAATTTGAATGTGACGGCCTGATTCTGTCAGCTTGACGATAAGAAACGATAAACTTCGGGCGGAGAAAACGATCAAATCCAGGGGTACATTATTGCATAACGAAGGGCGAATGGATATGGATATGAAGCACAGCAAACTTCAAATTGCATCAGTTCGGCCGTTGAAAAACTGAAAAAACAAGAAAACGAAGAAAACTATTCACATAGGGTAACTTGCCAATTGATTTTCAGTTATTTTGAGAAAAAAAAAAAACATTAAAAAAATGGCTTAAAAATTTAAATATTTAACAAAAAATATGTACCTAGTTGAATACTTTTGATTTTCTAGAGCTTATGAAAAATCAATATTTTACCGAGTATTTTACATTAATTTTATTTATTTTAATTCGTCAACCAAAGTAGACTAGTACAAATACATGTACATTTTTTTTTTCTAAAATATAGAAAAAAGTTAGTAGGTACAATTGTGTCTTAAATAAAAATTAAGCAGTGTCTGCTTTCCTATTTTTCTTCTTATGAGTTATAATTCCGTATAAAGTAAAAATATTGTTTTAGGTTATGCCGAGACAGTGTAAAGTCAATGGTTCCGCAGTATTGATTGTTGATTGTAAGAGGCGATCATGCGAGTTTTTTTTTTTTTTAACTAGTTCGTTTATTTACTAGGCTCAGTCGTGTGTGACACTTTGCGGAGCCAAAATCAGTAATGTTTGATTTACATTTTAAATAGCAGTATTTCTAGGTTAGTATTGGGTACCAATTACTCGTGGCGGGCTCGAGGTTAATAGGTAACAATTTCAATTGGAAGGATCTAGGTAGGAAACTGGTTTCTGAAGCCTCCTTCAGATACTACTCTCGGACGGTTGACCAAATCCTGGCTGGGCAGGGGCAAGTAGCACAGGAACAGGAGGATAATAAGACTGGGACACAATGGCGGGAAATTGTTTGGAAAGGAGGGGATAGTCACATCAAACTCTAACATCAGACAAACAAAGGAATTCGTAGATCGCTTGCATGCAGGGAAGATCACGTGTTCCCAATACATCTCTTACTTCACGGAAGGGTTGTCTACCTCGGGCCACTAGGGTATCCAATAGTTGTGCTCTGGAGGCGTCATTACCCGGGCAATACCAAACTGCGTGATCGATGTCATCATAACCGGTTCTGCACCTACATATATTGCTGTCAACGAGGTTTATTCTATAGAGATGTGCGTCTAGCGAGTAGTGGTTGGACATAAGTCTTGACATCACTCGAATGAATCCCCGACTTACATCCAGACCTTTGAACCACGCTCTCGAAGAAACATTTGGAATAATGGAATGTAACCACCGCCCAAGAGAATTATTTGTCCAATCGTTTTGCCAACTTAAAAGAGAACTCTGACGTACTAGTGGGAAAAATTCATCATGTGAAATTCTTCTATCATAAATCTCGCCTTGTTGTGCGCCCACCTTTGCGAGAGAGTCTGCCTTCTCATTGCCTGGGATTGAGCAATGTGAGGGGACCCATACAAAGGTAATCATATATGATCTTTCGACCAGCAAACTCATCTGCTCCCTTACCTTTGAAAGGAAATAAGATGAGTGCCTACCTTGTTTCATCGACCGAATAGCCTCAATCGAACTGAGACTATCCGAGAAGATGAAGTAATGGTCTATGGGCATATCGAAAATCATCCCCAATGCGAAGTTGATTGCTGCTAGCTCAGCAACATAAACGGAACAAGGTTCCTGAAGTTTCCGAAAGGCGGTTGAGTATTCATTGAAGACGCCGAAGCCAGTGGATCCATCAATGCGTGATCCATCAGGGAAAAATCTTCTATTGCCATTGACTTGTTGGTACTTTTCAGCAAAAATGCGGGGAATTGAGATAGGTCGAAGTTGATCTGGAACTCCTTGAATAGCCTGTTTCATGGAGAGATCATAGCCAATGGGGGAACTGTAGTTAGTAAAGCATACACGAGAGGGGTTATAGCAAGGAAGGCTAATATCCGATGACATATAATTAAGATAGATTCGCACGAATCTAGACTGGATGCTCAATTCGAGCATTTCTTCGAAGTTTTCAATCACAAGGTTGTTACTGACACTACATTTAATCAATATTCTTAATACATCCAAGGGCAATACGTAAACAACGATATTGAATACGTTCCAATTTGATTAGGTGGCTTTTTCTTGCCGAGTGGAAGCAAAACGAGCCATACTCAAGAACTGAAAGAATAGTCGTTTTATATAGTTTAATGAGGTCTTCCGGGTGAGCACCCCACCATGTCCCAGAAATTGATCGTAGAAAGTTGATCCTTTGTTGACACTTTTGTTTCAAATACGTAATATGGGTACCCCAAGTGCATTTTGAATCAAACCAGACTCCAAGGTATTTGAAGGTTAAAGATTGGGTAATGTCTCTGCCCAAAAGATTTAGACGCAGTTGGGCTGGAAACCGCTTCCTTGTAAACACTACCAATTCAGTTTTTTGCGGTGAAAACTCGATCCCTAAATTTCTTGCCCAGAGAGACAGATTATTTAGGGAATTTTGCAATGGTCTTTGCAAGATTTCTGCACGTGGACCTCTCATGGAAACCACGGCATCATCTGCAAGCTGTCTAAGCGTGCATTGATTATCTAAGCAGTTATCAATATCTTTGACATAGAAATTATAAAGTAAGGGACTTAAACATGAACCTTGGGGTAAGCCCATGTAGCTAATTCTAGAAGTTGTCAGTTGACCTAGATTGAAGGTCATTTGTTTTTCTGACAGCAAATTATACAAAAAATTATTCAAAATACCGGGTAATCCACTACTGTGCAAATTGTCTGTCAGTATGTCTATGGAAACCGAATCAAATGCGCCCTTAATATCCAAAAAGACTGAAGCCAATTGCTCCTTGTGCGCAAAGGCCAGTTGAATATCAGATGAAAGCATCGCTAGACAATCGTTTGTTCCTTTACTCTTCCGGAAACCAAATTGCGTATTTGAAAGTAGATTGTTTGATTCAACCCAATGGTCAAGTCTTAATAGGATCATTTTTTCTAATAATTTCCTCAGGCATGATAACATAGAGATCGGACGGTAAGAATTGTGATCAGACGCTGGTTTCCCAGGCTTTTGAATAGCTATTACTTTAACCTGTCTCCATGCTGGTGGAACTATATTGAATTCCATAAATGAATTATATAGGTTAAGTAATCGTCTTTTAGCGATATCGGGGAGGTTTTTTAGAAGGTCGAATTTGATCATATCGCTTCCCGGAGCAGAGTTATTCGATGAAAGAAGTGCCATTGAAAATTCCAGTATTGTAAATGGTTCATCCAGAGAACCGTTACTTCGGACTGTATCCCGTAAAGTTGGTTGTGCTGGAACAGAATCTGGACAAACCTTTTTAGCGAAGTCGAATATCCATTGGGAGGAGTATTCTTCACTCTCATTGGAAGATGAGCGGTTTCGCATATAGCGAGCCTTTTTCCAAAGCGTTGTCATCGAGGTTTCTCTAGAAAGTCCCTCGATAAAAGTACGCCAGTAATTTCGTTTCTTTGCTTTTAGTAAGTTTTTAAGCTTTTTTTCAAGCTTTAGATACTTTTCAAAAAGCTCAGATCTTTCATGTCTACGATAATCTTTAAAGGCATCGGATTTCTCAAGATACAACTTTGTGCATTCGTCATCCCATCCAGGGGTGGCGGGTCTTCTTTTGAGGGATGCACTTGGAACACGTCGTTTCTGAGCTTCTAATGCGCTTTTGTAGATTAGCTCGGTAAAGAAACGATACTCTTCCAGTGGTGGTAGAGGATCGGTAGAATCAATACCAAGAGTTACCGCCGATACAAATTTTTGCCAATCAATGTTCCTCGTGAGGTCAAAAGGAACTTGAATTGACTGATCTGTTTTTAGACGACCACTTTTGATTGAAATAATAATTGGCAAGTGATCACTACCATGGGGATCATTGATAACCTTCCACAGACAATCTAATGATAGTGAGTTAGAGCACAAAGAAATGTCAAGACGGCTCTCTCGAGCAGGAGGGTTTGCTATACGTGTTGCTTCACCAGTGTTCAAGATAGTCAAGTTGAAATCGTCGCACAAATCATAGAAAATACCCGCTCTATTGTCATCGTATGATTCGCCCCAACCAGTACCGTGTGAGTTCATATCGCCCAGTATTAGAACTGGAGATGGAAGGATATTAACTGAACTCCAAAGCTGACGGCGGTTTATGGAAGTCCTTGGAGGGACATATACAGAAGCTATGCAAAGATCTTTGTTCTTCACATTTATTTGGCAAGCGACAATTTCAAGGCCTGAAATTATTGGGATTGAGATTTTATAGAAGGAGTAGCACTTTTTGATCCCCAAAAGTACGCCACCATATGAATCATCTCGGTCCAGGCGGATAATGTTAAAATCGTGGAAGTTTAGTTCATCTTCAGAAGAAAGCCAAGTTTCACAGAGTGCAAATATATCACAATCAGAATTGTGAATCAAATACTTGAACGAGTCTAATTTAGGTATTAAACTACGACAGTTCCATTGTAATAAAGTGATCATATCTTGATCCTCACTCGACGAATTATCCATCGAAAGATATGAATTCACCAATGAGGGGCCATGATGCAGTCAATTGCTTGAAGTAGTTTCCGACTATAGGAACAAGCAGGTCAATAAGCCCTCGAAGTGGCGATTCGTCGGGAAAGCCGAGGGCATTCAAAATATTATCCACAATGTCCTTAAATTTAATCTTTCCTCGCTTGGACGGGAATGTTTTCTTTGAATTGCGAGTAGACGTGGTGTTTATTTTTGGTAACT